CAACACCACCAACAACACAACAACCACCACCACCACCACCACCACAACAACAACAACAACACCAATATTAGATATCAAACATGTTTGAAGTCGTTGAGGAGGGTGCTTTCTGAAAGGCTAGGTCCGACGCGGAGTTGGAAGGGTTGGTTGGGTTGTTGGTGGGCGGCGGTTGGGCTGTGTTTGGTTGAAGGCGTGTGAGGCAAAACCAGTATCATTAGAATCAAGCACCACCATTATCACCAGCAGAGATACAAAAGCGGCGTAGGATGTTGCCTGAACGGCGTGTGCCACTTGGAAAAAGTTATATCCAATCTGTAACCAACTAACCTGTTCTTTTCAGTGAGGAAGACGGGTTTGCTTGCTTCGCTCCCCGCGTCTCTCTCACTTGAGTAGGATGCCATCAAAACAAAACTGATGGCAGACCGAATAACGATTACAGATTGGAGATGGAAACACGAATAACTGCCTACCCGTGTATCAAAGGGGTGACACTTCTGCCGTCATTCACTTGATTGTGATTTTTTGTTCTGATCCTTTTCTAATGACACGGTCGGTCATTCCCCTCCTTTCAGAAAAAGAAGTCCGAGTGACCGACCTAAGCAGAAAGGGATAGTAAAACTGTTTTCCCAAATTCAAATACGTATGACCATGAGCAGCACTTAAAAAACCGTCATGGGAAGACTGAGCCCTTGTTTCTCTGCCGAACTTGCTGAAGCTATTCGAGCATCGATGTCAGGGAGATACGATCATTTGAAAACTTGCCGGATGAAACATGGGAGAGCATCATTTCGCTTGCTTTGGTCTGCTGAACACACTTGTCACCACAAAGCCGTTCTCCCGGCTTCTGCCGCGTGGGCCGGCGCGGGGCCGCAAAAAAAACAAGAGAAAAAAAAGAAAAAAGGCACTGTCGCTCCGAGGGCGAGTAGGGAATCATGAACCAGGTGCTCATCGGACCGAAACGGAAAAAGGAACGAACAAACAAAACAATCCCGCCGCCCCCTGGGGTCCTGGCCCACGCGCCATTCCCAATTCGAAACCGCCCCCGGACCCAGGGGGGTCAATTGAGAACCCTTCCGGGCGAGATGCCGCGAAGGGGGCAATGACCGAAGATGTCCTGGCAAGAGACGACAGATCGCCGATGGCGGACACCATCGCTGCCGACGTTGACGCTAGCCTGGTGATGTACGCCACAACAACCTGCACGAGGGCTTTCGTCTCCTGCGTAAGACTGACTGATGGGAGGATTCTTAAGTGACGACAGAGCTTGGATCTGGCCCCAAATGTCCCACAGGACGTAGTCGATGATCCGAGCCGAACGTAGGGCAATGCATGGCGACCGAGAGCAAGCAGTTCGTTCAGTAGGAAAGCCAGCCAAGGGGCTGGCAGGAGGGTGCCCTTGCGTCGGTTCGTGGACGACATCGTGGGGGCCGGGCCAGAATGCCGTAGGCAGGAAACAGAAAGTGCCTGAGAAGCAAGGCGGATTGGAGGAGCTGGGCTTTGGCCTTGGCCGACAATGGCCGACCATCAGGTGTCTGACCAGAGGCAAACGACTCCTCCCACGTTCTGTGGCCTTTCACTTGGGTATACAAGTGTGTGCGATTGGTGAATTTCACCTGCACGGTGATGGCATCAGCCGTCACGGCCTTGAGGCTGTTCAGCTCAATGGTACCGAATTGCACGCCTTGTCGTATCAACATCTGCCAGAAATTGTTGGTGATAGTTGTCCTCCGGAGTGGCACCCGAGGATGCCGTGGGGAGACGGTCCCTGGCAAAGGGTTTGAGGAAGGCCGATAAGTCGCTGGATGCAAGGACTCCAGCAGACGCTTTCTCAGCGTTGTCTGCCCAGCCGGAGTATAGCGTGCAAAGTGCACCCAATCATGCCCCACAGAGAGGAGATGGCGCAAACCATCGGACCCACAGTGGTCCGCAATCCACATAGTGGATGGTGAGTCTCGCGCGAGGTTTGCTCTGTGGAGCACATAGATGCGCTGAGGGCGGACCGCATCATCAGAAGAATTCTGGGTGCTGAACAGCGCAGCCGATGCCGCCCTCGTCTCCTTGGAGAATGCTGCCGTCAGAGGGGACTTCCCAGACCCGTAGGCCTTTGAAAGTAGTTGCCCGCCCAAGGACAGTGACTCGAAGTCGGCGGAGACGCCCGGGATATCGGGGAGCACCTCTGGCTGTGAGCCAGTTGAGTTGTCGCCAATGAGATTCTCGGGGCCGATGTCGAGCTGTTCCAAGATGGCATCGTCGTTGAGATCCATCTCCGGTTCACACATGGCAGGGTCGCGATGGGTCGCGTTTCGAAGCGATTCAAAGTGGTTCTCAATGGAACTAGCTGCAAAATTATTAAAATAAGCATCATGGGTAGAAAAAGAGATGCCAACGTTCATAAGCTGGAGCTCAAGCCAAGTTAGAATAATTGCACGCAAGCAGATGAGGCATATGGTGAGACCTTGAAGTTGAGATACAAGAGAAAAGAGAGAGAGAAGGTAGTACCAAAGGGCAGGTAGGTGGAACTCAATAGGGTGGAATCTGAGAGAAGGCAACTGATATGTAGATCTTGGAGAGAAGAGCGTACGACACCAACACCACCAACAACACCACCAACACCAACACCAACACCAACACCAACAACAGCAGCAGCAGCAGCAGCAGCAGCAGCAGCAGCAGCAGCAACAAACAACAAACAACAAACAACAAACAACA